TATAGACCTTTTGAACGGGATGTCTATCGCGCAAGTGCTCAAGCTGGGCAAGCGGCGGCCGCATCTCATACGGCTCTGCTCTTGAGGTAGACGAGGCCACGTGGTCTGTTTGCCTACATCGGATAAAATGCTTCAGGAAGAGGATAAGGTTTTTCTTGCTTGAGCTTGTTCATGCTAGCTTGCATCCGAACTGGTGTCATTACAGCGGCTCGTCTTGACTGTTGTTTCGACTATAGGTACTATCAGCAGAGGAGGATTCATACCATCATTGATTGCTTACTGGTAGGTTGTCACTGGTGGGTGCAGTTGAGGCCATGCAACTCAGATGCTGCATAGGATCAGCAGTACTACGTTTTCTGCGGTAAAATCTGCGTTGCAACGCTTTCGCAAGCCCAACTATCCCTTTTGGAGCTATCCCTTCTGGAAGTCATACTGATAATCTTATAGGGTTCAGGGGTTAGGGTGATACCCTTTTGCACTCTTGCCTGCCGCCAACAAAAGCTGCAGGCCGACACGATGACCTCGGAACCGCGACTGAAGGCCAAGCAGCAGCCAGCATCCTTGTTTCGGGGTCAAAGCCAAGTTCATGCTTACGATGAATTGTTATTTGTTTTTATTTTTAAGAATACGATCATTATATGGTTATTACAATGATTGTTCGTGTTACTATTATTGTGATACTTCAAGGGCCCTGAGCCTCCAGAGATGTACTGTTTAGGGCTCCTGAGGCCTCGTGCTACCTAACAACATGGACTTAGAGAAGGGTCAATCGGGTTGCCCCTGCCATCCAGACAATTTGACTTGACAACTGGGACCTGGAGCCACATAACGTATTTTCTCAAAATAAGGGGACCCCAATATAGACCCCAAAATACTTTAGTCCTTATCATGGTATTATGGGGACCCCCAAAGAGGTATCCCTCATTTTGGGAAATACCCATACGTCCCCAGGCAGCCTCAGGTTTGAACCTCATACGCCTACGATCCTGCCCAGAAGCTTGAAATGGGATAACGGAAAAGAAACTGGGAACTAATTTATAGTATATTGGGGTGATATAATGTTATAGAGGGAAATGGACAGAAAATAGAAACTACAGGTTTCACAGACTTCCAGCTAGGGCGGAAACTGCTCGGAGACGTTGCTGTTGCAAGGGCGCCGACAGCTTTGATCACACAGCCTCGATCGCCGAGGCGGTCCATGCTCCGAATCTATGATATGAGCTATAGCCTTAACTCCTTAAAGGGGGGTTACATAGGGGATTATATGGGGTTCCATAGGGTTCTATTGGGTTATATAGGGGATCATTTAGGGTTTAGGGTCTAAACTCCTTAAAGGGGGTTATATAGGGGATTATATAAGGGACGACTACAGGGGTTATTAAGGGGGATACTAGGAGTTTAGACTATAGCTCATATGCCTTGGGCATGATGTATGCCTGTACTAATGGAGTAAAATATCGGGGGCATGTAGCGAATGGTGGGAAAGAAAATCGGAAACTACTTTTCAGGGTGTACGGGATATAGTCCCCCTTAAGTAGACACATAGAACATGGGGTATATGGGGATGTTATTATGATATACCCAAAGCCATATTCTATCTACTTAAGGGGGACTATACTTATGTACTTCCTATAAGGACCCCAGCCTTGATCTCCCTGTTGGTCAGTCAGGCGGGAGTGGGCTTCCAAAAGGTGAACGGTCCGCAGTTTTCAAGGTTGTGGTGCTAGGGAATCTCCAAAGCTCGGTTGCTGTTGAGGAACTTAAAGCAAGTTAGTATAATACGAACACCCTGTTACTTACTACATACCCGTCTTATGGATACTGAATTTAAGTTGGTTAACAGCAACCCAAAAAGGGGGGGGTGTACCAGTTTGCACTTTGCAAGGGCCCCTGAAAGGGGTGTCCGCAGTTTGCCAGGCGGTTTGCGCACCCTAAGCCTAGGGCTTCCCTGTCATTATCCCTGTGATTTTCCATTTGATTCTCCATGCTTCTAAAATGTCCCCCAAGCTCCAGCCTTAAGCCCTAAACAGTAGTTACCATTTTCTTTTCCATGACCTCCATACCCTCAAGCCTGATCATGCAAATTAGGGCCTAGGGAAAAGGTTGAGGGCTTCAGGTCTGGCCAGCTGCCCCGAGAGCAGTTGGATTTGGGTAATTTTGGAGGAACTCCTTAAAGGGGGCTATATAGGATATGATATAGGGGCCCCCCTATTATAGGGCGACCTGGAAACAGTCAAGGTTCCAACACATTGATCAAAGCAGAACACCATGGATTTTTGGGGGCCCTTTGTGCGGCCACTCACCTGCAGGCTTGCTGACGCCGGAGGCTTTCTTAATATGGATACACATATATATATATAGAGCCATTAATAGGATCCCTAATATAAACTGTTACAATCTAACCTTAATATCCTATGGTAGTTTCCATTTAAGCCAAACGGGTCTTGAAGTGACATTGCTTGCAAGGCAAAGTTTCTTGATATTGCGTAGCAAACATCCGCTTGGGGACACACATCGGTAGCATTCCTGCCAGGCCACGCACATTTCCCGAAGCAACGTGTGGTTTCTGGGCCTGAACAAACAAACCTGTTGCAGCAAAACTGAACTAGATCCCTGGGGCAACGCCCAACATCCCAGCCTGGAAGGCCTTTCGATGAAGGGGCATCAGAGACCTTTGAATACTCCACGCTATCTGCGGTGTGCCTTTTAATGCCTCTTGCCTTTGGCAAGATCAGCATGTGCTTTTTGCCTCCGATCAATCCAACAGCTCGCACTTTCTATATCAAATCTTTTCTGGAGAGGTGTGGAACGAGCCGCATCAGAGCCTCTGCCTAAGCAGCACAGAACTCTGGTCTTTCAGAAAGAGCTTATAAGAGGTTCGACGGTTGTTGCGGGTAGGCTGTATTTTGAGCCCCTCTCCGGACAGATGTGGGAAGTGCACAGGAATGATGATGTCGCAGGGTACTGGGCTAAGGTTTCGAACGAAAAAGGTGTTTTTGAGAGTATCCTTACAAGGTGACATCTCTTCTTGTCCGAGCCATTCAGAGTTGTCGCATTGTCTCGGCATCCCCATGCAAACCCATAGTCAAAAAGTTGGAAGAAGGGTGCCAGGCCAGCAGTGGCTCTTCTTCAGGAAAAGAATGACAACCGCGGGCGTCATTTTAAGTACGCAGCAATAGAAAGCTCCAGGCTGGCAATGCCACAGGGTTTTGGGTTTTGGGTTTTGAGTTTTGGGTTTTGGGGTTTTGGGGTTTAGGGTTTAGGGGTTTAGGGTGATTTCCAAACTCATGCCCCGCTTCAAGTCCCGGCATAAAACCTCAAGCGTTAGGCATAGTCTGACATAGATTCGTAGCGGCCAAAGTCGTTACGCTCTTTTTCCGGTTCAACTTGAGGGCAAACTCTCCAGGTAGGGCTCTGAAGGCCAAAAAAGTTGAAGCTGGAGTTTTTCCGCAATTAGGAACCGCAAAATATAGATGCTGATCTACGAGAAGCCTCATTACAGGTACGTATATTCAAGAAGGTTGAATGCTTTCGTCTAGGCAGGGTGCAAAGAAGGCTTTGGACGGCTACCTGCGCAGAGATAGTCAGGCAAATACAACACTCTTGAACCCCTCAATGTATTTGTGGCACTCCTCGCAAAGCTGTTGATCCAAATGTTGCGCTGCATCTGGTATTGTGTGTCTGTGTGTGTGTGTGTGCGCACGCATGCACTCCCCGCTTCGACATAAATTGCACAATGACTCAACGACAAAGAATGAGAATTTACGAGATATGCCTCCAGCACTATCTGAATTCTCTTGGCAGCCTGATAGCGCTCTGCCCAGAAAGTTCCTGCAGCAGTTGCAACTACTAGGTGCAATCTACCCAAGCTTGCTGCAAACATGTGAGTTCGTACTTGGAATTGCCTTTTTCAGAGTGTAGTAGAGACGGTCGGCGCTTCCCAACTTTCTGGAAGCCTTGCACCGCTTGCGCCGTGATGCCTCAAATACTAACTTCTCAGCTCGTGAACTTTGAGCGCGGAAAGTAGCGGAGTGTACCAGGAGATATTCCGAGATTTACTTGGACCTCAAACGCCTGAACCTAAATCCCTTCCACCCTGCTCGTCATGAAACCTGGTATGAGTGTATTTGGTACTGCTCGTTTGTCCTTTGCTTATTGTAAAAGCAAGATTTGTATAACATACTCCCTCCCTTTACTATATCGTAGTTTCCATTATCTTTTCCATTATCCCTAAATTACCCCTATATAGCCCCTATATATACCCAAAAGCGACAGAGACCTCTTTGACGTGGCTGCACTGTTGTGCGATGTGCGTGTCGAAACCCAACCCTGAACCCTAAACCCTAAATCCTAAACCTATACCCTAAAACTCCCCTGAATGATTAGTGGACCTTGATCTGCCCCTCTGCAAGGCCAAGGTGATGCGATGTTGATTGCCAGGCGGGAAGCAGGAAGCTGAAATTAAGTAACATGGCATTTCAGAAGATAAAGGGCCCCATAGAACCACCACCCTCTTAGAAGCCAGACATACTCATCCAAAACCCCAACGGATAGTTTCCGAGAACTAGGTTACTGAATACAACTACCCCGCAGTAGCAGGAGGCCCCGGTATTCAAGGCCTCTCGGGTGGAAAATCCTCGGCCAGTCATGTTGGGGGGCTCATCAAATTGTATGTGCCTTTTCCTTCTTACGGGTTTGATAAGGATTCTGTTGAGAAGCTTCCGTGTGGACCCCCATGAATAAAAGCTTATGCTTTGCGCAGTCTGGGGGCCCCAAAAACTACCTACATCGGGATTAGGGGTTCTTCGTGTAACATCCTAGAGGGTCTATTCCAATCTTGCCACAGCGGCCCCACTAGGGAATTCTTCATGTAACACCCTAGGCGGTGTATTCCAATCTTGCCATATGGATTTGGACATCCCGTTAATCGGGAACGGGATGCTGTGTCTCAAGCATTTGCGGCTCGCTACGCCAACTTATTTGTCCCCACAGCCTACGCCATGCCTCGCTCCAGCCGGGCACTTGTTTGCCTGTCCCTCGTGGCCGCGGGATACGTGGTCACCCGGCTCGGGGCCTTTGTGGCTGCGCCGACCACACCAAAGACTCCACGGACGCAGCTCCAGGCGAGGGGAGGCGGTGAGTATGACGTCAGCGATGCTGACATTCAGACCTTCTACTCCTCGTTGCTGACTGGCAGCGGAGGCGATCCCCCAAAAGGGACTGTGCTGTCCGAGCTTGTCGTGAAATTCTTCCATGGCGAGTTCACACCTCAGGGCTTCAAGCGCTACTCCGGGCTTTGGAAGGGCCCACCCCCAGGCAGCATCGGCAAGAAGGACATCTCTGTGGGAGTCCAAGGGCTCAAAGCGCAGATGGCAAACCCAATGTTTGTGACAAAGGGGGGTGTGGGCTACGGCGTGGACGAGACGCAGAAGGTTGTCGATGACGGCAAGGGATGGGTGTGGCTCGCGGCTGAGATGAGCCCCGGAGGCCTCGCTTTGGAGCTCTTCAAGTCCGTCCCTTATGGTAACTTGGCTGGGTTTTTGTTTGAGTTTCCTACTCATTACTAATTATATCCGGGAAGGCGATAAGTTTGACTTATAGCGCGGCCTACAGTCAGCTAAGGCAAGCGCGCCCTCTTGGTCGCCAAGCAAAGCAACGTCGACGAGCTTTTCAACTCCGTGAATTGGGACGTCGCGCTGGCCAACGTTGAGAAGACCTTCGGCGGGCCTCAGATCAAGCAGCGGTGAGCCTGGCAAGGGCTGAGTAGGTCAGTTGCGGCAGATGATGGGCAGAAGCCCACCTTGTCTTGTGCAGAGCCCGTGGCACTGTGTGTGCATTTGTCCTCCCGCCTCGAGCCCACAAGCTTGCAGGACATTCGTAAATCGTCAGGGCTTTTTGAAGCAGCCATGTCCGTGGGCTTGGGGAGAGGGAAATCTTTTTTCCGATCACGAAGCTTCTCCATCTGAACCTGAAATTCCCCCGCGATACTGGGGCACACTGCATTGGTAGCATCGTAGATCTGGAACCGCCTACAAATGCGTTTTGGGGGGAACGTTGAGAAGCTGGCTGTTATAGGAGCATTTGACCTACCAGGCGAATGAAAACATCCGGGTTGGCTGGATATGGAGATTTGTTTCCTTGAGCTGGGTAGCTAGAATATTATGCATGCATACTTTGGTACATGAGGCAAGGTCACAGGTGCTGAAGCTACCACTCGATTGACTTTGACTCTTGGATCCACCTGCTTTGTCCTTGCACGCCTTGTGCCGTGCAAATGACAAAATACCTTTTTATCACATTTGTTCACTTCCCGTCCTTATCTGTCACAATGACTGTGTTGTTCGCCTTGCGGCTTGGTTGGCCGGGCCAGGCATGCATCGAACCCTCGCTAGTTCCCTGCCTTTGTTGCGCTCTTGTCAAGTACAGCCAGTAGATTCAGTAGATCTGTGTGCTTCAGATGGCGTCCCGCCGCACAGGTATCTTCAACACCTCCAGGACCTACATGATGGTTTGCTCGTACGATACGGTTGACTTTTCCCGGCTAAAGAATGCAGCAGTACTCCTTAATTGAATGTGGTTCTGGCTGTTCTTTGTGCGGAAAATGTCATGCCTTGGTATCATGATCGTCAGTACTTTAACCGATTCATCCGATAACTGGAACTCATGATTGAGTGTCCTGTCCGTCAAGGCGAGCAACAAATTAGTGTGACCCTTGCCATTCCCAAATAGAGTCCCCATTGTGAGGAACCCCTTAAAGCGGAGTCATATAGGGGATTACCATATGGGGATTCTAAGGGGGATACTAGGAGTTCAGACTATGGCTCATGCATAACATATCCAGTTATGATATAGTGGTTTCAATTTTTATCCTTATATAATAGTTTCCATGTTCTTTTCAATTATTTTTCTGAGCCGCCACACCCAGAGCATCTCCCTCTCGTGTGCCAGACCTTTGAAGCCGCGGCGGCTATCCTTTTCGGCCGCCCTGAGCTGCATTGCTTTGTTGACTGCAGGGCTCCTTATTGGGTGCTCGTGCCAACTGCTTGTGTTGGTCCATTTGGAGGCGCCGATTTTTGGACTGGAGTAGATTTCGGCTGGATCCCTTATTACCTCTGAGATAGGATGCCCTTTAAACCTGTAGGGGACAGATATTTGGCCTTCAGGTCGTGTGCTGTTAATTCAAGCAGAGCAGTCCACGAGCAAGAGCGATGGCAGGCCCAAGGCAACAGCCATTAGCAGAAGCTAGTACGCTTAGAGGGGTTGTGAAAGGTCAAGCTTGTATGGGGCGCTACATTGTCAGAAAAGCTTTTGGGACTACACGAGTATAAGCGTGCTAGGAACTCTGATCCTGATGTTTCTTCAGGCTTCCATATTTGAAGCTGCTCGAGAACTACGAAGACTTTTTTCTCTCGGTAAACCCGGCCACAAGTCTGGCACGCCTACGGAAGAGGCCTGGATAACTAGTACTGTTATCCCTTTGTAACCCCTACAGTTGTAGTAGAACATACACCCCCCCCCCCCCAAGACCCTATTCCACTTATTTTGTCTCCTACAGTATGCGAGCGTTGAAGCTGCCAGGGAAGCACAGCTAGCGGCAGTGGCTCACTGAGTCTGGACGAACTGGCCCTCCCGGGCATGTCTTTGTGGATGCTAAGCTTACATGGAGTTTTGTCCAAATTTGAGGGCCTTACATGGTGGATGATAAGGATGAGAGGGATCACTGCTAAGAATTCTATTCTACAGGAGGAATCTTAAACAACTCCCACATGCGCATGCGCACATCTCCGGCTGTGTAGAGTGAGCGTAGAGACCTGTGGGATGTTGCGGGCTTCGCTGAGTGTTTCTCAAAGGCATGAGTCCTCCAGGGTTGAATGATTCGGTAGGAAAAATGGATTAATTATTGAGACACGACGGTCATGCCGGAATTGCGGCCGCTGCCCCCGTCCCAGCAGGTTCCATCAGATCAGTCGAAATGCTGGCCTCTTGTCAGCCTCAAGCAGCTGCTGAATCCCCTTGCACAAAGAGCGCATTGCAACCCAAGCTCGCTTCTTGTAGGGCCGCAGGGCACTTTGGGCAAAGACCGGCAGGCCGAGTATCGTCCTCACGTCTTTGAATTCTTGGGCCGTTCGAGTCCTGCAGGCTTCCTGGTGACTTCCAAGAGGTTTGAGTCTCACCTGCGGTTCCTACATAGCACGAAGCGCAGGTTTGTTGAAACAAACGGTTTCCAGCAAGCACGCTACCTGGAGCCTTTGAAACGTCACACACCTCATAGAAACGAATCATGATCCAGGCATTCTGCATAAAGCAGAAGTAGTGTTCTTTTCGTTCAGTAGCACTTTGGCGAAGGTTCCACAATCAGCCTCCAGGCGCGATGCAGAACACGCCTGAAGCGTACAGTTCATGCCCTCACGCACACTTTCCTGAACTAATTTTGGTCACTTGTGTCCCTTGATGGGTCTGCTGACATCAGCAGACATCCTGGAATCCTGGATCCACAGACCCAGACCATGCATCGCTTTATGGACCTGGCAACCAGTATATAGTACGTCTATGGGCCTAATATACTTTTCTTTGTATTGTACACAGCTAGAGGTAAGCCCCCTTTCATAACTAGCCTGTACAGGTTCTAGCATGAACCCAATCGAGCACCCCTCCACAATTAGCCTGTATACGTCTCTCGTCCATTCAAGCATGAAGTCAACCTCCTAAATCCCACACCCTAAACCCGAAACCGTAAAATAGCGTTTCCATTTTCTTTTCCATTATCCCTATATATCCCCAATATACTATAGTAGTTTCCATTTTCTTTGCCATTATACCCCTAAACCCTAAACCCAATATAACTCCATTATAGTAGTTTCCATGTTCTTTTCTAGTATTCCTATATATCCCCAATATATACACCTAAACCCTAAGCCCAATACAACCCCATTATGTTAGTTTCCCTTTTCCAGTATTCCTATATATCCCCAATATATCTATTATACACCTAAACCCTAAACCCAATACAACACCATTATATCAGTTTCCATTTGCTTTTCCAGTATTCCTATATATCCCTTAGGTGGACCCCCCCCACCCTGTAATAGGATAGAGGATAGTAGTAACTATATTAGGGTCCTCTTATATTCCTATTATACCACTATTGCGGGGTGTGGGGGTCCTCCTAATATGTCCCCAATATATCTAGCAGTTTGGAGTTGCCTTAACATGACCAGGCCACTCCGCAGACTACAGGAGGCAAGGGGCAAATTGATGGCCGTCAGACTTCCTTGTGGGGTTTAGGGTTCAGGGTTCAGGGTTTAAAGCTCAGGGTTTAGGGTTCGGGGCTGTCAAAGATTCAGCGCTTAAGGTTTAGTGATTCGGGTTAAGAATTCAGGGTTTGAGCTTAGGGTTGTTACGGGCTCAGGGTTTGCAGTCTTAGGTTTGGGGCTTTAGGTTTTTGGGCTTATTCGCCTGGAAGTTCATGGGTGGGATGAGTACGGCTCTAAGTCGGAAGCCTACTCCGCTGCTGGACAAAAAACAGCCCGCATGAAGTCATAAACTTTTGTAAGGGATATGCTTCTGATCACCCTACGGCCCTCTACCTATGCACACACCAATGTTCCTGGCAAACTCTGAATACGCTCACCAGCAACCAAAACCAAACACAACCTCACCGCAAAAAAACAGAAATTATGGTACTCACTCTTGCATGCGTAACGTCAGGCAGGAAAAGTCAACAGTAAGTCTACCAGCGGCGAGAAAAACGCTGATAGAAGGAGTTCTTTAGCTGGCGCTACCTTGCTTAGAGTACTATTACTAGACAACTACATTCTGCTGGAGGTGTTGTAACAATGAACCTGAGAAGCACGGGAGTCTGGTGGGTTCTGGCCCCAGGCTAAGCTTCGGACTGAGGCCCAAGCAAACTTTGTTTGCACTGGGGATCGGACGGGGTGAACACACCACGTGGTTTAATAAGGGGAGCATGAGCTAGAGCTTCCCTAAACCCTGAACCCTAAACCTCAAACCCAAAACATGAATTACCCGAATTTCGACCAAACCCTCCAGCCCGGTATCCTCGTCCAATTCCAGATTCTGGACCTCATATGCTCTGAAACTCCAAACCCCAACCCCTTAACCGTGCCCCTACGCTCCAAAACCGTAGATCAAACTGTAAAGCGTGAACCCTCTACCCCCTCCAGCCTCCTCAATGGTCTTGGCCTCAAACACAGGATGTACGTGCAGGTGAAGGAAAGGAAGCGAAAGACTGGCATTGCTGGCCAACAAAGAAATACAACACACAATGTCGACTCCACATTAGCCAGTCATATTCAGATATTCCTTGAGAAATATGTATCTCCAATGATGTCCCAGTGAATTATTGCATTACGTATAATCCCGAAGCCTCTTGCTTCCCGGTTCGAGGTGCCTGTACACAAAAAAAAGACCCATTCAGCATGCTAAGTTGTGCTTCATAATCATTATCCACACCTGCTTCAAAACACCACATGCCTTGTTGTGAGGAACCCTAACTTTACACCCAAGTAGGCGGAAACAAAATGTGAGATGCGCAAAGTCGACACACGCAAAATTGCCATTGCAACCAGGAAGCGTTGGCTTCCTTCTCCTGGAGCCAGCGGGGATGTCTACGAGGTTCTTGCTAGCAAGGTCTCTGAACCCTACACCCTAACCCTAAAACCCTAAATAGTAGTTTCCATTGTATTTTCCATTATCCCAATATATTCCCCATATAACCCCAAATATA